CCATTATTCCTCCTCCATCAAACTTTACAGTTGGCACTATGCATTGGGGCAGGTAGCGTTCTCCTGGCATCCGCCAAACCCAGATTTGTCCATCGGACTGCCGGATAGTAAAGCGTGATTCATCACTCCAGAGAACGCGTTTCCACTGCTCCAGAGTCCAATGTCGGCGAGCTTTACACCACTTCAGCTGACGCTTGGCATTGTGCATGGTGATCTTAGGCTTGTGTGCGGCTGCTCGGCCATGGAAACCCATTTCATTAAGCTCCCGACGAACAGTTATTGTGCTGACGTGCTTCCAGAGGCAGTTTGGAACTCGGTAGTGAGCAGCGGTGTAAAGTACTTAAGTAAAAATACTTTTAAGTACTACTTAAGTAGTTTTTTGGGGTATCTGTACTTTACTATTTATATTGTTGATAACTTTTACTTTTACTCCACTACATTCCTAAAGAAAATAATGTACTTTTTACTCCATATAGTGTTCGAGTGTGCCCCTGTCTGTCCGTAATAACAAATAATACGAAAATCGTGCAGTCTGGTTTGCTTAATATAAGGAATTTGATGTATAGCTTTTACTTTGTACTTTTACTCAAGTATGACAATTGAGTACTTTTTCTACCACTGTATTTAAGTACATTTAAAACCAGATACTTTTAGACTTTTACTCAAGTAGGATTTTACTGGGTAACTTTCACTTTTACTTGAGTCATTTTCTGTTACGGTATCTTTACTTTTACTCACTGGTAGTGAGTGTTGGAACCCATTCTGTGAGCTTGTGTGGCCTACCACTTCACGGCTGAGCCATTGTTGTTTTTAGACGTTTCCACTTCACAATAAAAGCACTTACAGTTTCCCCTTCACAATAACGGCACATTCAGTTGACCGGGGCAGCTCTAGCAGGGCAGAAATTTGATGAACTGACTTGTTGCACGGTGCCACGTTGAAAGTCACTGAGCTCATCAGTAAGGCCATTCTACTGCCAATGTTTGTCTATGGAGATTGCATGGCGGTGTGCTCGATTTTATACACCTGTCAGCAATGGGTGTGGCTGAAATAGCTGAATCCACTCATTTGAAGGGGTATCCACATACTTTTGTATATATAGTGTATATACACACTGTATATCATTCACTATGGCTGTCCAGCTGGTGGTAGCTCTCCTGGCTCTAGCCTCTCTGAGTGTACCTGACTGTAATGAACTGGTCAAACCCCTGGAGGACCGCAGCTCAGTAAGTGCTCTGGTTAATAAAGCTTGAATGATGATCATTGTCAAGGGGATCATGTAAATCAAGTGCAAAATTATATGCAGCTGAAATACTGTGCTAGAATAGGACGATCTCAGTCAGTAGGGACAGGGTTTACAAAGCAGTACCAATTATCAACAGAAGTTGTGTAATGTTTTCAGTTCAGGTTCACCTTTAAACTGAATTCCCACAGTTTGTGTCCCTCCTACAGCCAGATAAGCATTAAAACAGACACTGTTTGTATAATCTTTGTCTCTCATAGATATAAGTAAAGGAGATGTTCAGTATACACTAGAATAACTATAGCTGGCATTGATGCTACTCAAGTGAGTATAGAAAGTCCAGGAAGCGCCAGGACCGTCTCCTAAAGTTGATTCAGCTGCACGATCGGGGCACCACCAGTGCAGAGCTTGCTCAGGAATGGCAGCAGGCAGGTGTGAGTGCATCTGCACGCACAGTGAGGCGAAGACTTTTGGATGATGGCCTGGTGTCAAGAAGGGCAGCAAAGAAGCCACTTCTCTCCAGGAAAAACATCAGGGACAGACTGATATTCTGCAAAAGGTACAGGGATTGGACTGCTGAGGACTAGGGTAAAGTCATTTTCTCTGATGAATCCCCTTTCCGATTGTTCGGGGCATCTGGAAAACACCTTGTCCGGAGAAGACAAGGTGAGTGCTACCATCAGTCCTGTGTCATGCCAATAGTAAAGCATCCTGAGACCATTCATGTGTGGGGTTGCTTCTCAGCCAAGGGAGTGGGCTCACTCACAATGTTTGCCTAAGAACACAGCCATGAATAAAGAATGGTACTAACACATCCTCCGAGAGCAATTTCTCCCAACCATGCTAGAACAGTTTGGTGACGACCAATGCCTTTTCCAGCATGATGGAGCACCTTGCCATGAGGCAAAAGTCATAACTAAGTGGGGAACTTAGCTCAGGGAACAAAACATTGCATTTTTGGGTCCATGGCCAGGAAACTCCCAAGACCTTAATCCCAATGAGAACTTGTGGTCGATCCTCAAGAGGCGGGTGGACAAACAAAAACACACAAATTCTGACAAACTCCAAGCATTGATTATGCAAGAATGGGCTGCCATCAGTCAGGATGTGGACCAGAAGTTAATTGACAGCATACCAGGGCGGATTGCAGAGGTCTTGAAAAAGAAGGGTCAACACTGCAAATATTGACTCTTTGCATAAACTTAATGGAATTGTCAATAAAAGCCTTTGACACTTATGCCTTCTTGTAGGCTGTTTCGTCGTTGTTGGTAATCAGGCCTACCACTTTCGTGTCACCAACAAACTTGATGATTGAGTTGGAGTCGTGCGTGGCCAAGCAGTCATGGGTGAACAGGGAGTACAGGAGGGGGCTGAGCACACACCCCTGGGGGGCTCCCGTGTTGAGGATTTGCATGGCAGATGTGTTGTTGCCTTCCCTCACCACCTGGGGTCGTCTCGTCAGTAAATCTAGGACCCAGTTGCACAGGGAAGAGTTCAGATCCAAGGCCCTGAATTTAGTGATGAGCTTGGAGAGCACTATGGTGTTAAAAGCTGAGCTATAGTCGATGAACAGCATTCTCACATTTACTGCATTCGGAAAGTATTCAGATCCCTTGACTTTTTCCACATTTTGTTACATTACAGCCTTATTCTAAGATGGATTAAATTGTTTTTATTACTCATCAATCTACACACAATAACCCATAATGACAAAGCAAAAATAGGTTTATTAAATATAAAAAACAGAAATTTGACATTTACATAAGTATTCAGAGCCTTTCCTCAGTACTTTGTTGAAGCACCTTTGGCAGCGATTAAAGTCTAGAGTCTTCTTGGGTATGACACTACAAGCTTGGCACACCTGTATTTGGGGAGTTTCTCCCATTCTTCTCTGCAGATCCTCTCAAGCTCTGTCAGGTTGGATGGGGAGCGTCGCTGCACAGCTATTTTCAGGTGTCTCCAGAGATGTTCGATCGGGTTCAAGTCCGGGCTCTGGCTGGGCGACTCAAGGACATTCAGAGTCCCGAAGCCACACCTGCGTTGTCTTGGCTGTGTGCTTAGGGTTGTTGTCCTGTTGGAAGGTGAACCTTCGTCCCTGTCTGAGGTCCTGAGCGCTCTGGAGCAGGTTTTCATCAAGGATCTCTCTGTACTTTGCTCCGTTCATCTTTCCCTCGATCCTGACTAGTCTCCCAGTCCCTGCCGCTGAAAACCATCCCCACAGCATGATGCTGCCACCACCATGCTTCACCGTAGGGATGGTGCCAGGTTTCCTCCAGATGTGACGCTTGGCATTCAGGCCAAAGAGTTCAATCTTGGTTTCATCAGACCAGAGAATCTTGTTTATCTTGTTTTGAGTCCTTTAGGTGCCTTTTGGCTAATTCTAAGCGTGTGGCTTCCGTCTGGCCACTCTACCATAAAGGCCTGATTGGTGGAGTGCTGCAGAGATGGTTGTCCTTCTGGAAGGTTCACCCATCTCCATATATGAACTCTGGAGCTCTGTCAGAGTGACCATCGGGTTCTTGGTCACCTCCCTGATCAAGGCCCTTCTCACCTGATTGCTCAGTTTGGCCGGGCGGCCAGCTCTAGGAAGAGTCTTGGTGGTTCCAAACATTTTCTATTTAAGAATGATGGAGGCCACTGTGTTCTTGGGGACCTTTAATACTGCAGAAATTCTTTGGTACCCCTCCCCAGAAAATGTTGAGTCTCAAAGCAAAGGGTCTGAATACTTATGTAAATAAGGTATCTGTTTTTTATTTTTAATACATTTGCAAACATTTCTACAAACCTGTTTTTGCTTTGTCATTATGGGGTATTGTGTGTAGATTGCTGAGGAAATTGTTTTATTTAATCCATTTTAGAATAACATAATAATAATAACATAATATGCCACTTAGCAGACGCTTTTATCCAAAGCAACTTACAGTCATGCCGGCATACATTTTTGTGTATGGGTGGTCCCGGGGATCGAACCCACTACCTTGGCGTTACAAGCACCGTGCTCTACCAGCTGAGCTACAGAGGACCAGGAATAAGTCTGAAACGTAAAAAAATGCGGAAAAAGTCAAGGGGTCTGAATAATTTCCGAAGGCTCTGTATGTCATAATCTGGGGCCTCTTTCATTGAAATGGAAAATTGGAAAATAAATTGGAACTGGAGGAAATATATATTTGTTTACTTGCTACCTGTTTCAGTATTTCATTCAAAGTTTCCATGTAGCCCTCACCCTGCATTTATTTATTGGTTCCTAGTGGTCAGCATATTGTTACATCTTTATGCCAAATGAGACAAAAGCTAGGGCACAACAAAACATTTCAAAGAGAAGCTCTTTTGTTTTGGGATTAAGGCAGTTGGTTGCCAGGTAACTCATGAGAAAGTGTAAGACCTCATATGCACAGAATCCATGTGCACATACACCAAACCAAGGGCTGCCTCCCTCTTCATCCTGCTATGTTGTTTTTACTGTAGTCCTATTCCAAACCAGACACAATGTACATGCTATTGATAATTTAATTAATTATTTAGCTTGTTCCTACTTGTTGTAACAAAAGTTACTTCAAACAAAAGCAAGTGAGAGAGGCCCTTTTCACCATACTGTGGATGTTATCATTTAGCTGGTATCCAGGCTTTGAATTCATTCAAGGACAATAGTCCCAAACAGAAGCTTCTATTTAGAGTGCTCTGGTCCCTAGCTAATAGATGGTGCCTACTCAGTCAGGGAGGGGACATCTATTCAGAGTTATATAAGACAAGTCTGGATATGAATGCTGATTTAGCCCTCCATTTACCCATTGAAGCATGTTTAAAACCTCCCCTCTTCCTCCTCCTCCTCCTCCTCCTCCACATTGCCCCTTATGCAACAGTGTTTTTGTCTAAGCCTCTGGGAGGCATATGCCCCAGCAGTAGAGGTGTTCTGCTCTGGTTGTACTGTACGATCGTCCTCAGTGTCTCTGCTCCATCTCTCTCGATGGCTGTTCAGCTGGTTGTAGCTCTCCTGGCTCTAGCCTCTCTAAGTGCGGCATCTGCACCGGACTGTAAAGAACTGGTCAAACCCCTGGTACTGGAGGACCATACCGAGGTAAGTTGTGATCATAATACTAAATATTATATTTTGAACCTAATCAATTTTTCTCAGATGACACCCTACTCCCTATCCGGCAAAACTACTTTGGCCGGAGCCAAAGACTGGGGAATAGGGTGCCTAAGACACAGCCATTTATTTTTCACTGTTTTGGACAGTATTTTTGTATTTATTAGGATCCCCAATTACTCTTCCTGGGGTCCAAAACAGGAAACGCAACAAATAAAATAAAGAACATACATAGCACTACATTTACATTTCAATTTAACCATTCAGCAGACGCTCCCATCCAGAGCGACCCACAGTTAGTGCATTCATCTTAAGATAGCCAGGCGAGACAACCACATATCACAGTCATATCCCAACCACGTATCACATACATAATGCAATGCAAAATACAGTACAAAATGCATAATAATGTCTGTGTCTCTTCACAGTTCTCGTCGTGCCGTAAAGTGTTATTTTATCTGTTCTTTGAATCAGGTTTTATTGCTAGCTTGAGTTACCTGGGGTGGCAGAGAGTTCCATGTAGTCACGGCTCTATTAATACTGTGTGTTTCCCAGCCTCTGTTCTGGACCTGGGGACTGTGAAGAGACCTCTGGTTGCATGTCTTGTGTGATACCGATGAGTGTCTGAACTGTGTGCCAACTGCTTGAACAAACAGTTCGGTACCTTCAACACCTCGCACAAAGACCAATAGTGATGCAGTCGATCTCTCCTCAACTTTGAGCCAGGAGAGATTGACATGCATGTCATTCGTCCTCCGTGTACATCTAAGTGCAATACGTGCTCCTCTGTTTTGGACCAACTGCAATTTGCCTATTTCCGTCTTTGCCGCACCTGACTACACAACTGGACAGTAGTCCAGGTGTGACAAAACTAGGGTCTGGTTGACTGAGATCATTTTTTATTTTATTTTTAACCTTTATTTAACTAGGCAAGTCAGTTAAGAACAAATTCTAATTTACAATGACGGCCTACACCGGCCAAACCCGGACGACGCTGGGCCAATTGTGCGCCACCCTTTGGGACTCCCAATCACGGCCGGATGTGATACAGCCTGGAATCGAACCAGGGGGTCTGTAGTGACGCCTCAAGCACTGAGATGCAGTGCCTTAGACCGCTGCGCCACTCGAGAGATAAAGAAAGCAGAGCAACGCCTTATCATAGACAGACCTCATCCCATTTTAGTAACCGTTGAGTCGATATGTTTTGACCATGATAGCTTGTCATCTAGGGTGACACCCAGCAGTTTAGTCTCTTCAACTTCCTCAATAGCCACATTATTCAATAATAGATCCAGATGAGGACTAGGGTTGTGTGAGTGATTTATCCCAAAAAGTATGCTTTTAGTTTTTAAGATATTTAGCACCAGCTTATTGCTAGTTACCCATTCTAAAACTGACTGGAGCGCTATGTTAACGGTGTCAGTTATTTATTTTACTGTTGCAACCGACGTGTATACTGTTGAGTCATCAGCGTACATAGACACACAGGCTTTATTCAAGGTCAGTGGAAGGTCATTAGTAAACACCGAAAATAATAATGGTCCAAGCCGGCTGCCCTGTGGTACTCCACGATCAACCAAATTTGTATTAAAGAGGCTTCCATTAAAGAAAACCCTGTGTGTTCTGTTGTATAGGTAACTGTACATCCATGATAAGGCAGAGGATGTTAATCCATAACACCTATGTTTTTTTTTTTTTTTTTTTACTATACTACCCATGTGTTTCTTCCAACTTCAAATGGTCCAAATTGGGTTAAGGATGCTGCAATTAGATGGTATGAAACTCATGTGTTTTTCCTTGTCTGTGACTGGCAGCTCTATGGCAAATGGGTGTATGTGATGGGGTCTGCAGATCATTTATTCTTCCAAAATGCTTTGGGGACTCTGAAAAGCTCCTGGATAGACCTGTCGGCTACATCTGACCATAAAGTAGTCACCCTAAGATGGGGAGACCGCATGTAAGTCTGGCTATGTTGTGGATATGAATGCAGACTTTAATGAATGTCATAGTAATTTGGAATTGGCTTTAGTAAATATCAGGAAAGTATGTGCAATGGTAGACATTTAATTTCACCTTTCTCTGAAAGCAAAGACAATGTTTCAAATTGGCACCTAAGCAATTAATCATACTATATGCTAACACGTTTTCCTAAATATCCATCAGTGATGGCAAATGCGTCGTGGGTAAAACACATGCTACCATCTCCGGCACCACTTCCACAGTTCACAGTAAGTGACTTGTGCTCTACTAGCCTGGTTGCCATATTTGTCTGTGCTTTAGCCAACACCCTCCTCTGGCGTTGTTATGCAAAATAGGACATCGACAAAGGAGCAAGTTGGCTGAAGCAGAAACAATCTGGCAACCTGGCTAGTGCTCTACATCTAAGTGATGAAAACATTAGCTGCTCAATAAGAGAGGGGCTTTATCCACTTTCCTATTTATTGTGTGTATTGCCTTGTCATTATGCCATGTTATGTCTTCCCTGTATGTCATCATGTGCCTGTAAAGATACAAATAAAATGTACTGTTACTTTATTTTACAGTCCGACATTTTTCTGGTACTTGGAAATGACATGGTAAACATGTAGCAACATTATAATTGCCTAATAATTTATTTGGTAGTCACTGAAACAAGCACCAAAAAGTAACCTGCCATTTGGTAGAAGGTACTTACCAAGTGTGTTGAATTCATGGTAGTATGCATGTACTGTAACAGTTGAAGCAGGACAAAAAAAAAGCGTTACCAAATGTCCTAATCATAATGGATAATAAGGCATTCTATTTTATTTTGTGGCTCCCACAGTTCATTTGTCTGAACACAAAGGCCAGTACCTGGAGACCTGCCCTAACTGCCTGCTATGGTCAGACACATCTCGTAATGGAGACATCACTGGCAGATACCTGCTCCTGTTCAGTAAGTCCAATCAATCAATCAATCAATCAATTGATTTGAGTAAGTCCATCCCCAAAATTGTCTGGACCCATCTGGATGTGCTTTAACCAACTCCTAACTGCTGGTTTGGTTCAGTGTCATGTGCAAAATGTATGGCATGACAACGATAGTCAGAGGAGTTGGCTTAAGCACATACAGATCTGGGATCAGGCTACCCCCCACTTATTGACGTTGATAAATAGTAGCAGTTTAGGCATGCTATACTACAGACAAAGCATTGTGAAAGCCTGGAGTTGACCCTACATCAATAAGGTGTTGAAACAGTATCTTTCTGTCAAAGGGATCAGTCACTATTTCAGAACCAGTGAGATATATGCATTGCTTTGGAAGACTTAATGGAAGATGAGCCATCTGTTGTCTGTTACCAGCCCTAAAAGATTACACAAGCAAGATACTGTAGGTCAGCTCATCAGCCTCTCTCTCTCTCTCGACTCTCAGCAAGGACAGGGAAAATGGATCCCACATACCTGGACACCTATAAGAAACAGGCAGAGTGTCTGAACTTCCCAGAGAAACATCAGACCTACGATGGAAAAACAGGTCAGGGGTTCTCTTTGCTCCTCCTCCTCCTCATCTTTTATAGATGCTGAAAAATCTACAAAAGGTGAAACTTGTGTGTTTGAGGGAAGTTAAATCATATGAGCAGTCACAAGTTCCTATTTAAATGTATCTTGTGCAGACAGAGAAAACGATGGCCATTCCATTGTCAGGATCTAGTTCCATAGAAATACAGGCTCATATTGTTTTCAGCATCTTTAAAGGCCCAATGCAGTCAAAATTCAGTTATTTCTGTGTTTTGTATAATATTGTACAACAGCTGATGAAACTAACACTGTAAAAGTGTGAAGAAATTTGAACAGTGTTATTTCCTGATAGTTGCTGGTTGAAAATACAATTTACAAAGGGCTTTCTTATCAGCAGGTTTTGCATGGGTGGAGTTTTGTTAATATAAACCAATAACAAAGAGTTCCAAACCTCTCTGCCAATAACAGCTAGTTTTCAGATTACATATCCCCCCCCCCCCCCCCCCCTCCCAGTCAGACCACTCCCAGACAGTCCTAGCTAAAATATTGCTTGAGAAATATTTGAGTTTATTTTTTACCATTGTAATGGAACACTATTACAGCAAGGTTCTTAATTGTTACCCAGAAATTATTTTAATATTGAGATAACGATGGCTGCATTGGGCCTTTAAGAGCTGAGTTGCAATTAGGCCTACTGCAAAGACCAATGACAATGGCCGTTATCACAGGCCAACCATGGACTACTGCTTCACTGTGACAGAATCATGCAAAACCACAAGGGGGAGACATCACTAGCATAATATACACTGAACATATAAATCACTTCCATGACATAGATTGGCCAGGTGAATCCAGGTGAAAGCTATGATCCCTTATTGATGTCACTTGTTAAATCCACTTCAAATCAGTGTAGATGAAGGGGAGGAGACAGGTTAAAGAAGGATTTGTAAGCCTTGAGACAACTGAGACATGGATTGTGTATGTGTGCCATTCAGAGGGTGAATGGGCAAGACAAAAAATGTAAGTGCCTTTGAACAAGGTATGGCATTAGGTGCCAGGCCAGGCATACCGGTTTGTGTCAAGAACTGCAACGCTGCTGGGTTTTTCATGCTCAACAGTTTCCCGTGTGTATCAAGAATGGTCCACCACCCAAAGGACATCCAGCCAACTTGACACAACTGTGGGAAGCATTGAAGTAAACACAGGCCAGCATCCCTGTGACACTGAGAAGTGGTACATCCATAATATCCTCAGTTTTATCCCAAAACATGTAGATGCATGCCAGCAAAGCCACTACACAACACAACACTAAACAATACATTAATTGCACTATTTTAATGTTAATTAATTTATTATTTATTTAACCAGGTAAGCCAGTTGAGAACAAGTTCTCATTTACAACTGCGACCTGGCCAAGATAAAGCAAAGCAGTGCGATAAAAACAACACAGAGTTACATATGGGGTAAACGAAACGTATAGTCAATAACACAATAGAAAATCTATATATAGTGTGTGCAAATGTAGTAAGTTTTAGTATTAACACTGGAATGATAGATGTGCAAATAGAGATACTGGGGTGCAAATTAGCAAAATAAATAACAATATGGGGATGAGGTAGTTGGGTGGGCTAATTACAGATGGGCTGTGTACAGGTGCAGTGATTGGTAAGCTGCTCTGACAACTGATGCTTAAAGATAGTGAGGGAGATAAGAATCTCAACTCAGCTCTTAAAGGCCCAATGCAGCCATCGTATACATACTATGAGTGGGTGTTGCTATGGTGACCAATGAGCTAAAATAAGGCGGGGATTTGCCTAGCAGTGATTTATAGATGACCTGGAGCCAGTGGGTTTGGCGACGAATATGTAGTGAGGACCAGCCAACAAGAGCTGCCTTACATGAGAAAGCAAAAAAGAGACCATGTTTGTATGCGGCTTTATTAATTCAATGACATATATATATATTTTTTTTTACATTGTTTGCAAACTGATGTGTGACATGTATTAATGGCCAAATAACATGCAATTTTACTTTTTTTGCCCTGAATGATGGGTCGCCACTGAATATCCTCACACTTTCTCTCTGTATTTCAGAGCTGTGCCCTGATGACAAGGAGGAGAAGGTGGTGGAGGAGGAGATTATGGAGGAGAAGCAGGCTACGGAGGAGGCGAAGACTACAGAGGAAGAGAAGGCTACAGAGGAAGAGAAGACTACAGAGGAAGAGAAGACTACAGAGGAAGAGAAGACTACAGAGGAAGAGAAGGCTACGGAGGAAGAGAAGACTACAGAGGAAGAGAAGGCTACAGAGGAAGAGAAGACTACGGAGGAAGAGAAGGCTACAGAGGAAGAGAAGACTACAGAGGAAGAGAAGACGACGAAGTGAACAAGAGAACCTCACTGTGTTGCCCAACGAAACCTCCCTTTAGTGGAACTTTGATCCCATAACCACTAACCAAATACCACTCGTACTTCCATGCACTTTAAATGATGTCTTACATATACTGTATATGCGTCTTTAAATAATGTCTTACATACACATGACAAGTTCTATGTGCTGTGATATTACCATGTAATGTTAAAAAATGCTAATGTTTTAACCAATGAACTGTTTTCATGTCTTTTTACTGTTTATTTGATAACAGTTCAAGGTATCTTATATAACAAAATATGACTGTTCAAACAAATACATTTAAATAAAGACATTCAACCTTGTAACTTTTTTCCTTTGAAGTTATAAGATCTGAATAAAATGTAACACTGGCTGTGCAATGGAAAACTTCCTGTACACATCTAGGTTACTTGGGCTATATTGAGAAGTGAGTTAAAGGAAAATTCCACTAAAAAATGTGTTTCATTAGTCCACAGTTGATACGGTCCCAAAATGTTTTGCATGTCAGCAATCAAGTTTTCAAGATATATAACTTTCAAAATAGGGGCTGCCGCCTGTCTCTGGCATGAACCAAAGTAGTAGATGAGGGGTCCAGGCAGCAGCTGAGGCTGCCCACACACGGACAGGTAGGCCTGGTAGGAGCTGCCGCTGTGTCCATGGGCCAGCTTGAGGTAGTGCACCAGGAGAGGGACATTGGTGGGGGTGAAGCAGGCCAAACACCACCAGCACCGTCACTGCCATCACCACCGCCCGCGTCTTCCTGGAGTGGTTCTCCATGTTGGCCACGGTCAGGGCCTGCATGATGCGGACGTAGCACACGGCGGTGAACACCAGAGGGATGAAGAAGAAGATGGAGGAGTAGATGGGGACGAAGTAGAGGTAGTAGGCACGGAGCTTGTCTAAGTCCTGCATGTCGTGGCAGGTGGTGATGCCCATGTCCGGGAGGTGGATGGTCTGTCTGGAGAGTAGGTGGGGGTCACTCCTCCCATTGCCAATAGCCGCATGACCCCACAGATCACAACGGCCGTCTGAGGACTATGCCAGGTAAGAGAGTCCATGGGGTAGACCACGGCCGGGAAGCGGTTGATGCTGATGCACATCATGAGTAGGACGGAGCAGTACATGTTGCAGTATAAGGCTGCCGTCACCAGACGACACATGAAGGCAGCGTAGAGCCAGTCGTTGCCATGGAAATGGTAGGAGATCCTGAATGGGAGCAGCAGGGCGAAGAGCAGGTCGGCACTGGCCAGGTTCAGGATGTAGATCACCGCCGGCTTCCTGGAGGAAGCTGCGGGTCTCCTCGGGGAGATGATGATCTTGGTGGAGCGGCAAGGGCCGTGCTCTTGCTTCTTCATAGGCTCCTGGCCCATCCCTGAGCCACTGCCCTCCTGTAAGTTCAGCCCTGGGTAGTCGATGGGGTTGTCAGCCACCGAAAGGAAGAACGCTGCAAACATCCTCAGGTTGAGTCTGAGGAGACAGACAATGGGAGCTGAGTAACATATTACATTACGTAAACATGTGTACAAAGTGCCTAATTAATGGCTGGATGAGAAACCGTAACTTCATGGTGTGCAACACACGACTAACTGTAAACATTTAAAGCTGGTAGTGATATAGCAAGCAAGCCACAGCAGACAATTAAGTGTAGGGGTAGAGTGGGGTAAGTTGAGCCAAAGCGTTAGTTTAGCCACCCCTTGTTTCTAGGAAACCATACACAAAATGAATCATGTGACCAAATATTTAAGAAGCGGTCATCATTTCATGGAGTTTGTAAAGTTAGGTCCCCCAAAAAATATTTGTACAAAGTGAAATGAATGTGTTATAGGTTTCATGATGCTTGTATCTAAACCAAAGTAGATACTTTTAAGATTGTTCTATAAGCTACAACATGAGGTCCTAAACCTAGCAAAGTGCATCCTAAACTTAGCAAAGTGCATCCAAGCTGTGTTGGGTAACATAGTCAAAATGTTTGCCATGGGGTAAGTTGAGCCAATGGCCACCATACAGTGAGGGAAAAAAATATTTGATCCCCTGCTGATTTTGTACATTTGCCCACTGACAAAGACATGATCAGTCTATAATTTTAATGGTAGGTTTATTTGAACAGTGAGAGACAGAATAACAACAAAAAAATCCAGAAAAACACATCAAAAATGTTATAAATTGATTTGCATTTTAATGAGGGAAATAAGTATTTGACCCCTCTGCAAAACATGACTTAGTACTTGGTGGCAAAACCCTTGTTGGCAATCACAGAGGTCAGACGTTTTTTGTAGTAGGCCTCCTGTAGCTCAGTTGGTAGAGCATGGCGCTTGCAACGCCAGGGTTGTGGGTTCGATTCCCACGGGGGGCCAGTATAAAAATGTATGCACTAACTGTAAGTCGCTCTGGATAAGAGCGTCTGCTAAATTACTTAAATGTAAATGTAGTTGGCCACCAGGTTTGCACACATCTCGGGAGGGATTTTCTCCCACTCCTCTTTGCAGATCTTCTCCAAGTCATTAAGGTTTTGAGGCTGACGTTTGGCAACTTGAACCTTCAGCTCCCTCCACAGATTTTCTATGGGACTAAGGTCTGGAGACTGGCTAGGCCACTCCAGGACCTTAATGTGCTTCTTCTTGAGCCACTCCTTTGTTGCCTTGGCCGTGTGTTTTGGGTCATTGTCATGCTGGAATAC